GGAAAAAAGAGGGAAAAAACCGCGTCACCGCACCCCTTTTAGACCAAGCCCATGGCCAGAAACCGGAGTCTTCTTTTGGGGGGGGGTTGCCTAAGACGGGCAAATTCGATATCCAGAATAGTCCTCTGCACTGTAAAAAGGTTGGTCAATATTTGGTTGATATTTTGTCCAATGTTGGTAAAAATATCAACTTAGCAACCTTTGGGCAAATTCTTCCCAATATTTGGTCAATGCTTGACCAACAGTGACGAAAAATTGACCAACAATGTGGTAGCTTTAACCAAGGTTGGACAAATAAGAAATGCCTAACACTGTTTTGACCAACGTTTTTTACAGTGTGGGGTTCCCCCCCCCTTCAAGACCGTAAATGCCTCTCCTTGTCTCCTCTTCATGGGTTTCTTCCGGCTTGCGAGCTCCAGGAATCCTTGGTGGCATCACCAGAAATAATAATTGATTAACAATAACACCAAGTTGGGCCCGAGATATACTCAGTAAAATTAAAATCTCAATTTGTTTGCCGCTCAACCTTTTCGGATTTTGAGGTTCGTGCGTACTTAATTGATCACCATCATTAATTTTAGCCGAAGGGTTTCGTAAAATTGTTTTAATTATATAATATTATTCAAACACTGCATGGGAAATACTGGATGTTTTCACGCAGTAAACAGTGACTTCATGCACTCGCACTGAACTGATAACCACATGCATGCACCTCCGCCACACACAAAGTCTGCACCAACGTTCTTTCGTTGTCAACCGTCAGGCCTATATAAGATGAATGCCTGATAACCGACATGTGGATTGGTTTGCGTAGGAATGACTGAGTGCATGTGATGGCCACGCGCCTGTCATGTGAAAATAGAAGTACTGGTCATGGTGCGCTTGAAACCGAGCCTTCGACCTACCTACCTCTGCCCGAGTTCAAGTTGCCAGCCTGTACAAATAACAAGGCGCCGCGTACAGTACATGTACACAGGGAAGTGTAAGCGCCAACACGTCTGCCATAGAGGGTTGGGGAAAGGATAAAAAACACCCTAATAAACCACTGTCTTGATGTTTTTCCCCTGGGTTGGAGTCAAAGGCTGCTCTCTGGCTTCAAGAAAAATAAAGAGGATGGCTTTTGCCTTAGACTAGGGAAATGGAGGAAGATTGGGCATGGGGTCGGGGTGGGATACAATATAGGATGGGCGGGTCACATGGGGGATTGGGAGGGATCCGCACGGTCGACATGCATACGGTTATAAACTACTCTGCGCCGCGGATTTCATTTCGAAGGGAAACAGCCCCGGAGACTCAACGCACATGTGCATGTAGGCCTACATGTACGTAGACTACCAATGGAGCCGACGAAGAAAATTATTCTTGAGAGACACGAGTGTAAACGAGTACCGTAGTAATGTGACAAGGCCGACGGCGTGTAGGCCGGTGAATTATTAGATGCTTGGAGTCGTCGAGGAAAATGCTCCGGCATTTTGTATATTAACTATAATCCGACAGGGCAACGAAAGCAATACAATAAAATTGTGCGTATTTAAGAGTTGTGAAACGCGTGTGTTGATACAGGTTCTGAAGCTCAATGAGATCAGATATGAAATTATGTAAGATACAGTAACGTCATCGCACAGATTAAACAGACTTGTTTACGTGAAGGTGATTGTCGTATATCGACTAGTTTTTGATTCAAAAGTCCGGTCCAATAAATGGAGTCTGTTAATAATTACACGGACATTTCTATTATGGGTGGTCGTTTTGCTGTTCAGTCATGGCATTTGCTAGATGCGACTACGTCAGCTGCTTCTCGTTACCAAAAAACCCATGGCACTCCACATATGCCATAGGTTGTGTGATTAATATACGAAGGCGGTAATTCATACGGCGTTAATTTGAGATTTTTGTTAAGGAGAGAACGGAATTATGATAATTTTGATATGAGTTGATGCTTGTACAACAGTGAAACCGTGTATTGACATGGACGTGAAAATATCTGTTCCCGAGGTCAGGGGATCTTACTAACATCCGTCATCCTGAGGAGTTCCTGACCGTTCTGAATGAACTCAGGAAGCTTTTAAATTAGTGGCCCCCACACACTCCTCTAAATCATGTTTTTAACTGAGAGACACCCTGACAGAGTTAAGTACCGTGCCTTCGTCATGCGCAGTTGTGATTGCGGATTATGCAGCCAACGGGGAGGGGACAGCACGTGTGTGCACAGATGTACGGTATAGGTTCATTTGCCTCGTACGGGGACACTTGAGGGCGCCAAAATACTCAATGCCGACGTCCTCTCTTATAGCCTCAGCACAATAATGATAGCCTGCTGTTGTGACGTTAACAACTGGTTCGCATACAAAGTGCCACACTTGTCGGTCAAAGTATAGCTGAAATACGCATTGGAGATATCATCTACAGTATTAACAATCTGATAATGCGAAGTATCTATCTTAATCGGCTCACTAGTTGCAATGCCAGAGGTCGAATATCGAAAGAGGTCATAATCCTGGACAAGATGGAACTATCTCCTTTCGTCCATATTTAGGCTGTGGTCTAACGGGATGCCGATGCGCCCCCAAGTCACTTTTCTACACACAATCCCAATGGTGCCGCGGTACCCAAAATGTCAGAGTTAACGGAGACAAGAATGTTCACCCTGTCTGAGGCTGTCGTCCGTCCGTTTTAATCAGCAAGCCCTGAATAAGTCTGTGTACATGGCGTGCCTTGTCACAGGGCTCAAGCCAAGACATTGAAATGGGAACTTAACATGCATGAGCTGAGAGGGAATTGATGATAGGCAAATGGGGCAGCATCAAAACAAAAGAAAAAAAAAGCCTCCATTATGAAAACATCGCTCCTTTAATAGGGAGATTTTGCAGATACCCTCACAAGGATTGCTCACTGGGCCATCACAGCTTATTCTGTGTTTAAAAAAAGATAACGATGGCTGGACTATGACAGTGAATGTTTTGCTATTTGTTTACTAATTCATTTCGTTATATTCTAGCCCCGGGGTCGTGGTTGCCATTACGCAACCGTCCTCGTAGTTTTTATGTCTATGATTCCAAGTCACAAACTCGTAGCCATTTGCTTCCGATCCTGAAGCACACTGCGAGCTATGGCACTTAGGTGTCCCTCGGTGACCACCACTTGATTACTGGTCAGCAACAGGTCATTCAATTTCAGTTTTGGATTTGTACCGCCGGGGGCCTTACACACGTATGAGACCCGGTACAACTCTATAACTTTCGACGCCACGAAATCAAATGAGACGAGTCGGGGTTTGACATCTAAACATGGTTTCACGATAGACCCCAGAGGCTTCAAGACTAACCAGAACTACACTGGCTGATATTTCTTCATTCTTTATTACATGTACGCTCAAATAAACCGAGGTCTCCTCACAAAAGAGACTGACCTATTAAACAGTCAATAATCCATTTAGCTCGTGAAGGCAAGACCAACGCGGAGCTGATGAAGTTGAGATCAGACGACCATCGTGCTTGTTTCATACTAAAAAGGAAACTTTGTTTTGAATTCGTTTGACCAGTAATCGATACCGAGTTCATTGTTGAGTCTACACAAAACAGGCTGCTACAAGTTTTGGCGACGAGTTTTCAGTTTTGTTTTGTTTTTTTTTTTCACAAATGCACTGAGCCTGCTATTGGGATCCGATGTCCAAGGCCGTTTTCCAATACTCAACTTCGGCTCCGTCTCAGGCTTCAACTGTTTTTTAACTAGCTGACTTTGAAGCTGTAAGCGCACTTATTAGTTTAACGGTGCCACAAAACATCAAATAAGATGCAAGAGAGCCAGAAATTACAGTACTCCAATTTGATTTAAACGCTTCAGGCCCACAATCGGGGATTGGTTTTGGGAACGAAGCCTGAGACGGAGCCCAAGTCGAGTATTGGAAAAGGGCCCAAGCAATGATGGTAGGATTTCTCCCGCAGTGTTAGCACTACGAAGAAGGTACAAGAAAATGAAGTGTCTTCCCGCATAGGATACCACACTTATGTCAAGATCACATCAATAAGAGTCAATTCCAAATCCGTGTGCCAGACAAGGTTACACATCACTAAAACCGTTGATTCGGGTAGTAACGTTTTGGGAAGAATTTGCCAAAAAGGGCATTCGGTCGATATTTTGGCAAAAGTGAGCAGTCAGTGCCTGTCTTCGTTTAACAGCACAAGACATGCACGAACCAATTATCCATTTAGCAATCTGGACTGCACAAAGAAATTAGTCCATCTCGATTTCCTCTAGAACGACTTCAAAGAGGTTTTCTTTCACATGTTATGGTGTATGCGCTTAGACGTTACCGATCGATGACAATGAGCGGGACAATGCGTCTCAGTTTGTGTTGTCTGGTCTGAATGCGAGCATCGACCGCTCAACGTCGCCGATCAAACAAAACTTGGCCTGGCTCGACCTCATCAATCGAATGACACTTTCGTTGATCGTCGTCAAATTTACCGGACGAAGGGCACCATGATCCTATTATGGTGAACCCAGTTACCAATACCAGTTACCAGAACCCAATATCTATGTGGTAAACACTGCTACTGACAGTAATGGCCGTATGGCTAACCATAATTATGTTTGCTAATCGAGGGGCCCGGATTGCAAAATGATGACACCACTCATCTTCCCACTGTACCGGTTCACGGTTCTATAATTGTACTCGAACTTTGTGGACTGCACGTCGCGCCGTCGTTTTGGCGCAGGGGTAGACTTCTGGAATCTGGGCATCAAATCCTTCTGCCCTAAACAGAGTTGGTAACCTTAAATATTAGCAGAAATCGCACATGGATTTCATCCTGTTTACGCAGCGGCGTTCCACTGTATATGCCAACCAAACGGTAGAGGCATTCTATTCTTCATTGACTTTCAAGAAATGTTCTCATAATTTGGTCGTGGCTGGACGGGAGTCCGTTCATGGTGCACCTGCTTCACTCATTAACGTCACAAGGACAGACAGAGGGGTCGGAAATGACTACGCGACAAACTTAAAATCACTTCTTACTTCTTTTAATGGCACGTCAGTCAAATTAAAAATACAGATGAGGTTTACAGTATCCATATTATCGCACGCACACTAATGACAGAACCGTTGCTGAAGGACACACAGTCCTCTAGTAGAACCCAAACCTACAAGTTAAGCGTCTCAAACCGTGATGTTAACTCCCTTTTCAGGTAATTACAACTAGTCAAGTCTGACGGAGATTTTTTTTTTCAATGTAGCGTCAGTGGTGTGGGAACCAACATTATGGATCAACAAAATAGGCCAACATTCTGTGCACTCGAACGTATGCAATGTATATTATGTGGTTGCGAAGTCTTTCATTTCAAGTGGTGGTTACGGAGTTAGACCCCACGAGGATTTTTTTGTGTCATACAACCGTGACGTGCGTGTGTTGATTCCATGCAGCATTTAACGTATTTCGGTTGCAGAAAAAATTCTAAACAAATAAAATATAGAAAAACAATCGCCGCTTTATATATAAACACAACTTATTTGCAACATTTATACAAAATCAAATAAAGCCTTTTTTTATGAAAATCAAAATATACAGAACCGCACACACATATACATTGGAAGGTTTTCGAGATAACACTCTGTGCCTATTTGTATTAAAACAAAACCAATCTGACAAAAAAAATATACATACGTACTTTTTATATCCGCATTAGGTTTGTGTATACCGTGAAACTAACATCTCCAATTTCTGTTTGTAACCTGACCAGGTTTTGCGGACCAATTCAGCTTCTAAATAATAGCCGATGACATTAATTCAAGGTGTAATACCTGGGCTGTTTTGCATATTTTTCGGAGGTCATCTAAAGTTACTTTGCAATCAAAATGGAACAATTGCCAGTTAAAATCAAGCAAATTATGATTAAAAAAAATGATCGTCTCGCCCAAGACGGCGGACGGATAATTTCAAAATACAGTGAAAGAGCTCGGACAAAATGCAATCAAAGATAACAGCAGAGATAATAACCCTCCGAATTATACGATCATAAATAAATTTGTCTCTCTGTACCTTCACAACATATAAATCCACAAATTAATTATTGTTCTTCTCACAACGAAGTATTCTTTAAAAAAGTGACTGTGAGCCATTCCACTGTTTAAATTGGACGGGCAACTTTTTAATGGCGGTTCCTTAAAATGGCCAGTTGTGCCACGCTAATCACGTGACACCAGTTTGCTTTAACTTGAGCGTCCGTTTGTATCCTCAACTCCGACACCTTTTGACGTCAAGCACTGATAGCAACCTTCGGTTGAGAGTTACCATAGAAACAAACGCTCAAAAAGAATATTAAAAGTATTCAGTATCTGATATTCGAATTTGTAATAAAGCACTCAAAACATTCCTCAAAAAATTCACATGCATAATTTACCCTTAGAAACTCCTGGTTTTCGTTGTTCTACTTCTAATACATTTTTGTATCCCGTTAACGACTGGAATGAACAAAACAGATCGCGAATACAATTGCTTCAAACTCTCCTTTAAAAAGATACATGGTACAATCCGGATTCGATTTCGATTAATTTCATACATGTGCACAGTTCCAGACCAGTGAAGATTACGTGAACTACGTGACACGAGGAGATAATTTGCGCTCGATTCGTAACGAACAGATCGCTGGAGGTAAATTCATCACACAGGCTAAGATTAGCGTTCCTATGCATCACGCCATACACAGCTTGTATGTCAAAATGGGGTTGTCTGGATTACCAGTGATTTCCAATTTATTTATGTGCCTGGTACACGTTATCTGTTTTGAATACAGGAACCAAGAGTGCGTAAAAAACTCAGTTTAACTATATTATGGAGCTTTAGGTTTAACCTATCCCAATGTTGCTCATTTCGTGTACAACGTGCCCAAGTCGGGCGCAGAGGTTCGGTGAATTATTTGCTGTGATGTGTGTACTCGCAGTTCGCCAAGCACGTTCATATACATTGTCCGTGCATGTGCATTTTTACCCAAAATAAACTCAGCACGGTGAAATTTGAGAACACCACATCCGGAGCTGCATTTGCGAGTGGTGTCACTTTTTTTCTCGAAAGGACAGTCCTAAGTCGTAATGCTCTAAAATTTTAACTCCCAACTTAATACATGTAGTTGCCAATTTTTATTCGACTCGTTCAGTCAATGAGGCCGGTTATAAATCTCAAGAAAAAAAATGTTGAAACGGGAATCTTCTTTCAAGATGCACGCACCGGTTATGTAACTCTGCGTAGCCTACAAGGGGAAGCAGATTGTCGTCACATCTACCAAGTGTTTAAAGTGCGCAACGCAATTACAGGTACAATCATTTTTCCACTCCGACCTGTGACATCTTTTAAAAGCACCATGAAGTGATCGCTCATTCTGCAGACACGGAATGGGCACAAACACGAAAGTACGGATTCTAGAGTACCGAAGTGAAACGTCACGCGCACAATTAGTGTGTAAAAGGCATTAGCGCAAAAACCAGCGCGTGAACCAACACGCGCGCGTATTCCATTCGTTTGCACTGCACTTTCTGGTTCACAGTGACGTCACACCTCGGTACTCTATTTGAACAGGGCCTGCATGTGCACTCACTAACTTCGACATGATACTGCGTTTGTACGCACTCAAACTTTTCAACAAAAAATAATCTTTATGTACACATGATAGGTATAGATGTATTTGATTTTTGGACATTACATTTGTTTGCATAAAAAACCCACATTATGTTTCGTTAATGGAAGACTCGTCCTTCAGAAGATTGGCTTCGTGCATCATTTCCACGATCTGGTCGCCAGCTTCGTAGAGCTCGGTGGGCAAGGACTTGCGGAACGCCCGTCGCGTCTCCTTCAAACTCTCGCCGTCGTTTCTGTCCAGGCGCATCATGACCTCCAGCGGGTTGGAGATGTGCAGGTACGCGAACTTGATGACGCTGAGGGCGGCCGTGTGCGCCTTAGTCCACTGCCACTTGTTCTTCAGTTGCTTCCACTTCTCCTTGGCGTTCTCCAGCCGCACGGCCTCACCGCTCCGGCCGTACTTGTGGATGAGCGCCTCCATGTCCGTGATGTTGCGGGGAAAGATGTGCGGCTTGATCAACTCCTCGGGCAGCACCTGGCGGAACACGTAGGCCTCCAGCTTGTAAGCTGCCTGACCGGCCAGCATGGCCCACTTTTCCTGTTCCCGCCGCCGGTTGTCGTCCTCCGGCTCCGGTGGCTGGCTCGCCGGGGCAGCCTCGCTGGGGCTTCGCGGGCTCCCAGCGCTGGTGGACCCACTGAGCGGCAGGCCACCGATGGTGAAGGTGACTCCATAGCTGGGAGGAGAAACTGAAACCTCGTCTTCGGATGAGGAGCTTTCAGACATACTCATGAGTGCCGTGTTTGGTTAGCTCGGGGAAAGCGCCTCGAGGTTAGTTCAGAGAAGCCATAGTGATGTAGAGACCGTTTCGCACCAAAACAAAACAGGAAGTGGCGGTAATCTAGTCGACTCAATCAGACTGTTTCGAGTACTTCGTACGCGCCCTGTGCTCTCAAACTACCGACGCCACTCGGAATCTGGTGCCGGTCTTAGAAACGTCTTCAGGGTGTCAGCGACTCCAGTATCCAGTTTTTAAAACAGTTCCAAGTAGGCTTAGCAAGTCCAGTGTAGATCTTGCGGTGTGCGTTTCTGTAATTTGAAAGAAAAAAAAGTTTGCTATGAGTTTTTCTAAAATCTAAAAAAGGATGAAAACAATATGAGCAGGAGCAAGCATTGCTCCGTGAGAGAAAGCAAAGTTGAACTGTCCTTCACGATATTGCACTTGACATTTACAACAGCTTCCGATTATATCAACAAAACTCTGCGCTCAAATCGACGGCAAACAATACAGTTTTGTTACCTATACTGTACACATATACTTCACGTATAGGATAGGCCTATGTGTCCCGTCAACGCGTGATTTATTTTGAGATAAATGGTTATTCAACGACATATAGGTCACTTTTCTTATGCAAGTTGGAGTTGACCCTGCCAGCGCCAGTTGAGAAACATAGCAACAGGGTAAGTTCATGTTGCTTGAAGTGATCGATTGCACACTGCGGGAATGATCTTCTCAAACAAATGGAGCGTGCTACTTGCAAGACGAATAGGTCAAGACTCGTAATGTGATGACGCTGATGACGACGCAGCCTGGCAGAGGGTTACTTCGCGTACAGACCGGAACACGAGCTTGGCGCGTGCACTGAATCACCGGCAGTGATTGGACTACAGTCGCGCGTTAATGAGGGTGATTTGCATAGCCGGCCATGCGTGCAAAAACTGCAGTCAAGGTGGTCGAGGGCCTCCAAGTTGACTTCCAATCCAAAGGTCGGTGGTAAAGAGATACCGCAGCAAATCATACCCTGTACTTCCACTATACCACTGGTCGCCAAGATTGATGTTTTCAACTGCTAACGATGACAAAGCGAGTTTGCAACGCGCCTGGCCAATCACAACGCGTGAAATATGGCCACCCTTTTCAAACGCGCATTGGGTCTACAGATACTCGAAGGTGCACTTTTGTGAATCGCCCATATTCGGGAAATGAGTCAGATCGGTATTTGAACTGTGCATGCTCAAACGGCGTCTGAGGTCATTCTGACGCGCACGCGAAGTCTGCCCTATCAGCGTGACCCTACGCAGACTGCGCGCGCGTTTTGCTCCCAAATGACCTTGCGTCATTTAAATACCGCACAAGCTCATTGCCTCAAGACTTTTGACTTTGTAATTCTGGCTGATTGTGATGTACTCTAACAGAAAATGCTGACCCAATTCATGACTTCGTTAGACACTGACCGCGTGTAATAAGCACATCAGTCTTACAATTAATCCCCGTCACTGTAGTAATTGCCTCGCAAGCCAGTGATGGAATGTTGCTCACAAGAACAGCATACAAGCAAGAGCGGAGAACGCATCCCTTGCTATAGTCCGACAGCTTGTATAAACACATCTTGGCGCGGCGATTCCTTAATAAATAATTGTAAGGACCATGATAAATTATGAGAGAGAAAATGATGGCGTGAAAGCAGATACACTCCACCGTCCCTCCGGGAATTCTTCACAGTCGTGAAGAGGTGAGACCACGTCCCGAGCGCCCGAAGAAGTTAATGAATTCTGCCAAATTAATATGTCGACTGTCTGTTCAGCTTAATTTGCCCACCAAAATACAACGCCTTTTATCCGATTTTTTTCTCAGTAGGAGTCGACATCATCGAAGCGAACGAATCTTTATCATACATTATGTCGTACAAGCTTGGAAATGCACGCGACTCGTGTATATACTGAGGACTACTTTCCATGTGTAATTTAATTTTTCCCTTCCATGCGTATCCATTATTTTGGTGTCTTTAGTGAGGACATTTTCGTTTCTACTCGATTAGTCAGTAGGCTATTTCTGTCTTACAATCAGGCGTTGACGTCAATGACGGTACAAATATCACGCTGGAAATGTGTACGATCGCTCGGGCTCCGTGGCTCGACACATCGATTTTACGTCGGGCTTATTGTTTTGTGAAGAAGCGAAGGGGGTCCGGCTCGGGACTCTTGGGAGAGAAAAAAATTAAAGAGAGGTAGAGTGCCGGAAACGCGACCGGTTGAATGAAGGAACACGATGACGAAGCACGCTTGACGGGCCATTCTCGGCGAGCCCTCTGGAACGGCGCGGCCTGGAAAGCCAAAATCGGCCGGCCCCCGTTGAGGTTTATTGAACGCAGGATCCGCCGAGAGATTCATTTATATGAGAGCCTCCTTCGCCCATTTTGCATTGGAAATAAAGAATGGGCAGTTGGCCGTCTTGCGTGGCCGGTTGGGGTATAGCCTAAGCTATGTGACGCCTGATTTCAAAAGATTTGACAGGTGAAATTGCAGCAGGTGGCTAATGACAAATGGCCGGTTAAATTTTCTTTTCTTGCTCTTTCCAATGCCAAAGTTCTTTCTCTGAATCATCCAGTTACAGCTGGCTGTCAAAAAGTCACAAACTCAGTCTGTGACCATAGTAGTCTGCCTTTGAGCTGTAATGCCGTATAAATGACGCACTTATAACAGACGTCAGTTAAGCGAGTGATTGAAGTGAGGACATGCGACTTGGCGCGCTTTGATCCAACAGAGCATGCGTGCTTAATCTGAAGGTGCGCATGGGGTCAGGATGCTACCAACCTCGTTCCCATGGATACGATCTTGTGCGATCCAACCCCTGGTATTGTATAATTGAAATATCCTACTATTTGGAAGGAACGCACACGCGGCCCATGGAGTCGAGGATGGGATGATACAGAAGCGTGCACTGTCAGTGACGCGCACGTACAACGACACGATGCTTACATCACAATGAAGCCGCTGTTTTGTCTTATATTCCAGAAAACATCACCTGCACAATAATTATTTACAAACAGGAAGCCCGGGAAAATGTCGGCAACGAGTGAAAAGCTCGGTTTTGAAAAAGGGTTATAACTCTTCGTGACTCCATAATATCACCACATCTTTGAGATTGTGTGATTACTTCACAGAATCGTAAAACTTAATATATCTGCCAAAATAACACGACGTTTTCCACAGCAAGCCTTCTCCCCAAGCTAATAATAATCGCTGCCTATTCTGCGGCCCACCTCAAATCTGGATCAATATTAATCCGCCTGTGGCCTTCTTCCATATATATTACCATCGTATACCCCCCCCCCTTCCTGCTTTCATTACACTATAATCAGATGTCCACGCACTGCTTATCTCGAACAAGCATCTAGAGAATTCACAGACGCGGGACGAGCGCGGGTTCCGCTGAATGCGCGCGGCCATCGAAAAAGATGCCTCCTCCGGGGCAAACCTCGAATGAATTCGGAGCCTTTTAATGATATGAAAGATTTCGTTGTGTCTCGGTGTGAAGTCATTTCGCAATGAGATACCTACATCTCCTTAGGGGATGGGTCTATAAGTCACAGAATTCTCAAATCAAGATGCCTTAACGGGACCTCCCGCCTTCTGCTTCTTCTTTTTTTTTTACCCGCGTGGCAAACGGGTTGCAAATTCGTAATCTTTTTAAGTGGGCTTCGTCCGATGTGCCCCGCGGTTCAGATTACCGGTTGCCTTTACTGTCTTTACTGCAACAGTAGGCCTAGATCCCCACGAAATTGCACGTGGGGTAAAACAGTGACCGATGACGACAATTGCTCGCTCGTCAACATTTGGATAACAGCCATCTGAATGTGACTGGCTTGTTATAAACGACCAATAGGGCAGCGTGATATCGATATTATTTTCTTCAGATAATTTGATGACGATTCGTCCCTCGTCTATTGTTGAAAATTATCCGAAATGAAGGCTTTTCGAAAAACAGACAGCAGGCCTAACTCGGCTCTATCTCGAAGCTACTGTGGTCTCCATGCAGCAGGTAATTCCGGTAGCAAAGGGAATGATTTAAACAAAAATCTAGAATTTTTCTTATTTGGAAGTAAATCATGTTTTCAACCCAATTGCGAGTATCGCTTTGCCTCCAAGCGCTACATACACTAACTACAATGGGAAGCAGTGCTGACATGAAAGCACAATACAATATACTTGTCATGTTCATAACAGTGCCACATTGCCAATGCTAATTTGCAGTATATTCTGGGCGACACAATCACCGGAGACTTCACAAAAGATCTTTAAGTGTACTTAGGTTGAAAAAAAATCATCGTTTCATCCTCGACGGACCTGATAACTTGGTGTTGTCATGACCGAGCAGAAAAGTGCAGGCCACTTCACCAGACAGGTCTTGGAAGGCGCACAATGAGCCCACAGTGCAATTCTGAAGAACTATTCTGACGAGGCATCTCATCCGTAAAATCGTAATTTAAGGGCCCATCGTGACATGTGCATGCATGCAAGGAATGATGAGACTTTGGGGCTTATCTTGCATCTGCCGATTTCGGCATCTGAAATGATTAAGAACGAATTCTTATCGTCTTGCTTTCGGCAAACCATTATCTATAATGGCACTAACGGCGCCCACGACGATCGTGACGAAACCGTTGTGCCGAATGCCGATTCAAAAGAATCGATCTTTTGCTTTGCATTTAAAGGAGTGTAACACTAGACGTTCCTATAAAGATAGGACGTGCTTTGTTGGAGTGCATGCCAGCTTGGCTGAGATGGATCTTGTCAAGCGAGAGCCCAGCGATCGTGCTCGCCGACCGAGATCGGGCAATCCATGACGATTTTTTTTTAACTGTCGTCGCTGGCAGTTTCAACTGCGTGGTCTCTAGCATTTCCTGCCGCATCAGTGTCGATGGTGTTCTTGCTGCCACACGCTGATTGAATGTCAGATGCTTGGTTGGATCAGCTTTTGGCTAAAGACGATACATCAACATTATCCTGACTTTACTCCAACTTGGTTTGGGACTTCCTGGAAATATATTTACCAGTTTACAGGTTATCACAGGCCACACTTGAACCATGAACAACGGGTGAAAAAAATGCTATATTTAGACGAAATGTTAATGTTTGCAAAACTCGGGGGCGGGCCTACACGGGGCGTCGACATGAACAAAGACGGCAGCTGGATTTGCAACACTTTGTGACAATACATGTATTAACAGAGTGCTCCAAGACAAGCATGTATAGTACAAAGGCTAGAACATGTGTGCATTGCGAACTGCACAGAGCAATTTCACAGCTGTGTATTAACGGAGTACCAAACAGTAAGGCTCAAAAAGGAAAGGTTTTTCATCACTTTTGGAACCAAATTATTTCTCGGGTGTTAGGACGTATCGAATTACTTGACCGCAGTTTGAAATAACGCAGGAGTTAATGGCTGTGGCTGTAGCCACTTCCCACAGAATTGTGTGTAATTTCCAGCCGCAGCCAAGTAGACACGGCGCCGAGACTGCATGGGAAACTTCTGAGTCGCATGGCGGCGGCAAACACGTGACCAGTCCACTATTGCGTCAACCCGAGCATGCGCACATTAGCTCAACCGAAAACAGCAGTGCATCGTAAAGGGTGCAGACCACTAATTCAAGTGAGAATTTCTGACCAGCTCATTAGCATTAAAAGTGCCTCCTTCCACAGTATCTTTTGAAAAAAGAGATTGTTTGGCCCCCAAAATGGTGAGATTGTGTAAATCGTCACCAGGATCAACTCCCTGGGTCTTTGTGAGCTTTCATATGAGGGCAGAAGGGCTGAAAACTACGGTTGAAAAATGGTNAAAGTCTCCTGCATTCGTTTAGCTCATCCTCAACGCTGTTGATACTTGTATCTACAACGTTAACGTTTGTACGGGTGATTAAAATTAGAACGAGGTCCAGGAAACAACCTTGCCTCTAGCCTATTTTGTTTCCTTGACAGTTTTAAAATAAACACAACTGTGTTCGAACTTCCTTTTCATGCTACACCTGAGGCTGTTTTTGCTCTCAGTCAATACTTTCATGTCCGTGTTGGCTTCCTCCATAATTAGAAACGTCAACGTGATTGTTTTCACCAATGACTCCACTATACACGCCGGGAAATCAAGGAGGAAACTCCAACAGTGTTCTGAAGCCTCAGTCGGCAATAAGCAGTGCTGCTGGCGGAAGATAGTTAGAAAAAAATTGTAAAAAGATTGTGCGGGGGGGGGACGGTTCAAACCCAAGATCTGCTGCTTTCATGATGATGCAAGCGTCCGTTTTCACCCCCAATTTCGCCCTGCACCATAGGCTTTGATGACCCCTGAATCAATTCCTGGCCTGTCAGACGTCACGGGCATAGAGCGAGTTTTAATACATGCAATCCCAGCGCCTGGTTGCAAGGGTTAAACACTCCTTATGACTGGAATCAAGGCTATGAATGTTTTGTAGGTTTTACTCATTCATACCGTTGTCTCGAATAGAGACTAATGTTCGCTTTTCAACAGGAATGGATCCTGTTCAATGTCCCACGCAATTGCCGAGTGGTCAAGCCCTAACAAATTGTTTCCTCATTATTATGATAAATCGCCTCCGGGAATTTTGTACCAACGACTAGCGGTCATTACCTCCTTGAAGCGGTCGGCCAGACGTGTCATCAGTTGGGGGGTCAATCACGGAGCAGTGTGCCGTCCTTGGTATTCAGAAGTACCGGCGTGCCAACAAGACAAGTACATACATGTCATTACCCACCCTCAGCTGGCGTAACAATCCTTACAAGAAGCGAAACAGCATGCGGCAATGTCCTATAATAAACATGTAATATCCTTTGCGCTATATACCCTCGTCATTCCAGCAATGATGCTGACCTGAATATTATGGAGACATGTAACACCAACGCTGCGTTTACAGTTAAACGTGTCCTCTTAATTAACACCAATACTGTCCTCGGCGACTCCTTGGAGATTGGGGATACCGTGCGAACTCGCTGTGGCGGCAGTTGCTGCACAGTCATGCAGCTGAACAAAATGTAATGGATTTATGTTAGGAGATGGATGAATCACTCTCTGACTACAGTTCAATCTGCGGTTACCTTAACCACTCTGGAACAGGCCTCGTGCGAGCTTGTCAATTTTACACACTAGACCTATCTACAATCATAGCCTGCGATTACTTCGCCGCTCCATTTCAACAACAGAGCTCAAAACAAATCCAAAATACAAGAGCTAAACACTTGATCAATGGCTGCACCGTTCCTCGTTCTTGCTGTCTCCTAATCTTCTTTTGGGATGAGTTCATTCCCTGGAGGACAAGTGATGCTGTCAGTATATAGCTCATCGCTTAATATACCAGACACCTGCAGAAATACGTGTTTTATAGGATGATGATAATAGTGTTCCTTTTCTTTCAATGCAATGTAACAAGGGCAACCTACGGCCACAAAGTCACCATTTGTCATCAACGTCTTGCCCAGCATAACCGAATTACACCCTACTTACGAACAGTAAACGCCATCTTGCTGGGCAGTGTTTTACACTGGCTGCGATTGACTGCTGTACTTCGACCATGCAACAATTATCTGGTCTGTCTATTGACGATGTCGCTTGGAAAATTCTGGAGTGGTGGCAAGACTGACATGGCATCACAGGGAGAAGTTAAGTCGCAAAATTCTAAACTTCCAAGAATACCTCCCCTAAAAAGTTCAAAGCGTTGGAAATGTCACGACGATTGCTGTACAGGTGCGATTTCAGTAAACTTATTATTGCAAGACCCGGCTCTTGTACCACAAATTAAGTCTCTGCAGCGCATCGACGCGACGCTCGTGTTTGTCTCTCGACGCACATTAGCTGGCACGGGGCGAAATAATTTGGAATTACAAAAGCCGACAACTGACTAAAGGGCACCAATATTTGTTTCTGCTGTTTACTGAAAGGATACCGATCGTGTTATTGTTGGTATACTGTTATCAGTATCGTTACCGTTTCGATTTCTTGGGTATCGTTACAAAAATGACAAAGCAGTTCGGAGCGAAATGAAGGAGGCGGCAACGGGATTATCTGGTCTAACTGTCGTGTCACCCTTACCATATGCTCTGCATATCAATGGGCTCTACGAAGAAACAACTCTTAGATCTGGCCTATTCATGCAACTTAGCTGCCGTATGACGGCATAAGACTGAAGTGTCCAAGGAACAGTGGTTGTCCTTTTCTTGTAAGTACAGTACATGCAGTCCAGCTTTGACCAATGAACAACAACAACACACAAAACTGCGCTGGAATACGCAGCCACCGCAACTAATTTACTTCTAGCACACTTGAATGGGTCAAGACCGGTTTCCCAGAATGGCTCGACTTTACCGCGGGAGTTCAAACAAGATAGTGTGGACCGGTCAAGATCGTGGACTGGTCAAGATAGTGGACCGGTCACTGCCGTGGCTATAGCTGTCTAAAGCATGGTTTTCGTTGAGAACCGGACCCAGCCGGATATGACCCGTGTGGCGTTACATCAGGACTCGTATATAGCCTATTATAGGGCTCAATATGTGTAGGCCTACATTATGGATCGCTATACCCGCTTGAGTGCAGATCATGTCTCAGCAAAGGAAAAAAAAGCCCAACATACCATGGCTTTCCCCGCGGGGCGTGGTTCTTGTCTGCATTAGCTTTGGTGACTTTCAGGATAACATCAAACATTAACCAGGATATTCACAGGCCTATATATGCTGACAGAAGTCTCAGAATTGTCATTCTATAGTTTTTGAAGCTACCGTGCACACACCTGCGTGCAGAATTCAGATCATTTTTTTATGAAACGGCTGTTGACGGATTTAAAAAAACAAATTGTTATACGATTTTAATCGGACACATTGACTCACAGGGAGCTTGATTATTTCACCATCTGGCTCTGGAGCACGCCAGGGCAAAAGTTGGTTTCAAGAAGTCTGAAAAAATTAAACATCACACTCAATTTTCGTTATTTGAAATTTTAAGAAAGCTCATTGTTCTGAAAGTGTAATGTAACAATTCCAGTTGTGCTCAAAGTCACACTGAAAATATTTTGAGAGTGAATGGTTAATTTTTGCACAATTTCTTAATGAATAAGCCCTCTTCGGACAAACACAACGGTCTCCAATACCGGAAATTATTCCTCTATGCTTGGGCTGAACAAGATCGACACTGCAACTGTATCGTTCTTTCTAGTGCAGCAACAGTCTCCAGCTCAACCCTAACAGCCCTAATAAAAGGACAGATATGCATGTTCATGTTCAAATAAGGTCAGGACAAATCCCCATATTTTTCTTACGAAATTCATTACCAGTATCTCTCCAATACTGGCATTGCCATATGTCACGCATAATGATGTGAATCCATTTCAATGCTGAAGGGTTCCATGTGCCCGTCTTTTAATGAGGTAAAATGGAAAGTCTCCCCTCCAAAACTGAAGCAGTATGCGAATCGGAAAAGTCCACACGGAACAAGTTGGAAAAACGAAATGAAATCTGGAGTGAAGTCTAACGTGGCAGGCTTATATAATTTTTTATCATGGAGGGGGGGATGTTTTTATGAACAGTGCTCGCTCACGGCAGTTGATCGACAACAAGTATTGTGCTTACCTTCAACGCGTTAATGTATGACGTGACTCGTAGTCGTACCGGAGTAGTTTCCTCCTCGTCTCCAGGTCTCGGGGAAATTAAGCTCCACCAAGCATGACCATGCCGATATATATCACAGTCTTGGCCTACATAATTCGTTGTCTAGTCGACTTTATTGCAGACTGTATCTTCGGATATTTTTGTTCCTCTTGTTGCCGGCCCCACGCTTCGCGAATTTACACGTACATGCACTTCGACGTAAACATGGTGAACCATTCACCCAAGCTTCTTCACCGTTAAAGGAATGACCCGTTGCCGGCACACGTACCGGTACATGTACAGTATGTAAGCGCTTTGCATCAACAAAAATGCATGTGGCGCGCTATTGATGCGGCGTGTTGGCGCGCTACATCGAGCTGATCACCTTTGCCCTTTGTTTGCGTGACCCGTCGTAATAAAGGTAGTTATTCATGACGCAGATAGCGTGCACGTTGCTTAGTGATGAATATTCCCGGAGGACCACCAGCTATGGGCAGTGTACGAAACGGGCTTCCAGAGCTACGGCTGGGTCTATTGTCTGCGCGTCTCAACGCATTTCCATTGGAGCGAAGACCTAGACCTAGCCCTAGACAAGAGATTCGGATGCAGCCTAAGTTACTCAGCATGCAGCCGCACCCGACCGGTAAAGGTGAACAGCGCCCTCATTTATTATCGATCCGACAAGTTTTCCTCTTTAAAGAGGTGTTTTAAGTCGCTATAGGTTTTGATGGGAGAGGTGCGTCCAAACCACCGGCTGACGTATAAAAGTGTACATGTATTATTCGACTCTGAAATTTTCCCTCAAACGTAAAAAAGAGAGAAATGAGGTCTGCATTTGCTCTCTTTCTTGTGATTAGTGGCATCCTCAAAGTTTCACTTTTCCCGACTCATGGTGTGCTTGTGGGTTTTATTTTTAATACCACTATCAAAAGAATACATCAAAGCAATTAAACCTTTAATAAGGGAATGAGCGATTCTGTGCTAATTTTATTTATAAATGTACATTGTGGATGAAATCAATTGGCGGCTGGTTTTACGTCTCACCATAGGCCATGTGCACCTGAGGAAATGGTTTGGTGACTCACCCCATTCCAATTATAATCACAGGCCCGAGCGACAGACGCACGGACTATACGAGGCGTTGAAAGGTTCGACCATTATCTGAGTAGGGGGTGTAGTGCGTAGTGCCCAGCCATGATGGTTCATTCACTGCATCACCAATATTTCTCAATGCACAGTGTTCACCTTTCTTATCTCGAAAAAAATTACATTCATAGGAAGGGTGTACTGATAAAAAAAATTGCGTCTCCCTATATTTCAAAATGGTCGTGCCCAAACACGGAAACCTCCTCTCCAACATAACAGTACCGAGCCCGCTTATAATTTTGCTGAAATAGAAGGAAGTGACTGCCAACAATTACTGTAGGGGAAATGTGCCTTTATATAGTCGCCTGCAATAGCAGCCACAGGGTGTCAATACAACAACTGCCGTCCGCTGTATGCTTCTCATCTGAGTCCCCGTATTTGATAAGAGCCCAATCTTGGCGGGGAATTGTCTCAAGATTTAACCTGTGAGCTGCTTGCAAGGTGTCGGCCTCCATTGTGGGACAGTCGGGGTCAAGGCCGAAGCGCTGTTTGGAGCTCATCTCGCGGTGTGTTTTGCACTCATTTGTGAGCAGTCGATTATAGCATAGGAAAGATGCCGAGCACAAAGGTGGATCATACCAACAAACAGGGTAAGTAATAATTGCCAGAAATGTGTTTTCAGTCAGATCTCTTTGCCATATTGGCATTGACTTACCACCTGACCATTCATTTCAGAAGCACACGTTCGGGGGGGAGGGCTAAAGTGCTGAACGAACAACATTAGAACGGGGCGGGGCTTCGTCTCTCACTTTGATATCCACCTTGTGCGAGTTTACAACATTATATGCTTGGTCCTGTTATTAATGCATTTTGGTTGGTTATATTCGCTGTGAGGTTTATCATCTGCAAATTTCCCCCGCCAGTATCATGAAAAATTAAGAATTTGGTTGTCGGACTAGACACTTTCTGTACAATAATACGTACGTCATGTATTACAAGACCTTACGAGCCGAAACCGTGTTCCCTTTATTCGAAGAAGACAAGAAAAGACTCTTCCGCCATGATGGAAAGATTGACAAAATTTCAACAAGGCGTATAGCTGTCTTCGCTTTGAAATAAATCTTGGATAATAAAGCGCCCAGACGTCTGACTTCCGCCATATGCCCTTATTGTATTGCACGGTCTGCAAGCGATACTCGTCTAATTAACTGAACTGCACCCTTCATAATGTGTTACATTTCTCTGGCATCGTTTCGGATTTAACGACCAGGGAAAAAAATCCGGATTTTGGGGTCGATTTGAATCGGCGTCTTAAACAGTGCGCCAAAGTATGAATATAGCTAGCCGTGAAAGGAAGTTGAATCGGCGTATTCGTTGATAATCCCATTGGGAAATCTCTGGAAATATCTCAAATATACCAAGGCATCCTTCAGGGGGAAATCCCTGTTGGTTCGCCGACCTTGGGTGAGCAGTTTCCTCTTTTATATCTATTCACTGAAACGTGAAGGGTCGGTGCACAGCGGCACGCAGAGCTAGCCTTTTCAGCATTCAACAAACCTGCACGCACATGCGCAGTATGGACGCAGGGCCATTACATTGTCGTTTAGTTAGAGCACATCAGCTTTTGACATTGTGTGGCATTTGGACCCTGGTGATTACAAAACACATTGAACAAAAGTTGGTCTTTTTCCCGAGTAATTGCTGATGGAAGTTCACGGAGTTTTTATTCGGAGAGAACAGAGATGTTATATGGATCTACATATCATTGTATAGTACTTCGGTAAACAAACTTTTGTTGATAAATTATTATTTCATTTTAAAGCAATTACAGAACGAAATCCAATACAAAAACAAAATAATAAAGACGAAAAGGTGGTAAATACGATACGCAAAATTGATAGCGAGTGAGATATTCCCTAGTTTTACTTCTTATCTTCAATATGCTGGGCATCTTATATATAGTCTAACTTCAAAGATATTCGCTGTTCCCATAATTTGTGATGTGATCGTCGAGCACAGTGCTTGTCGAAGACACATGTGATCGTCGAGCACAGTGATTGTCGAAGACACACGTGATTGTCGAGCACAGTGATTGTCGAAGACACATGAGATTGTCGAGCACAGTGATTGTCGAAGACACATGTGATCGTCGAGCACAGTGATTGTCGAAGACACATGTGATCGTCGAGCACGGTGATTTTCGAAGACACATGTGATTGTCGAGCACAGACTCATCGTCTAGTCTTAGCAGTGTACCAGTGTGTTATATGTCCACTAAATCTGTATTCAGATGTTTTTCAGTTCATCGATCAGTCGTCTTTCCCGAAGACCGCGTTTTCAGTACCATGTCAGTTCAATTTCATTTGCACAGCGGTGCACCGCACAAACAGTTCAACAGAGTGATTTCATTAAGAGACGATTTTGGCGTCTCTCCCTCAAACATTTTCTCTTTATGGATACCAGATGGCAAGTGAGCTCAACAACCACCCACAGCATGGCTCCTATCCAGTTGCACAAACAGGAAACTCTGAAATAAAGTCTGTTTCCTGGCTGATTATATCAGTTGTTGATGAAAGCAACCTTAGGCTGCATCCCAATTTGTTGTCTAGAGCTAGGTCTAGGCTTCACTCCCATTGGAAATACGCGGAGTCGAGCAGACAATGATAGACCTAGCCGTTGCTCTGGACTGAGCCTGTTTCGGACACGGACTTACCAGCTTAGGATTAGCATAGGCGATGTTCCCAGTGAGGTTCTGCCTGGGGGTGTGCGCGCGTATAAAAGGCAAAACAGCTACTCACCTCGTCTGCCTCATTGGAACACTAAAAACGTATACAGACTGATCCGATTAGACGCCATAACTGTGGTGGCGCCGCACTCACACGCACATTCCTCGGCTTGACGCGCGCGTGCATTTGGCAAATCACGACACCCTATTGGTCAAAGAGGCATGTAATGGCTTCTAATGCTGGTTATCGATCGAATTACACTATATGCCAATAACTCCACTGACGAGCATAAATTTGGTCTACTTTTGTGCGTTGGAAGTCTGTGTTGCGTCAAATCTTAATACGCGATTTTGAAACACTTGGTCGACAGTCTACACGACCCACCGACTTCTGTTGAAACAAAAATGTGCATATTCCACCAGGATATTGATTTCACCAGTATCGCTTTCTTTGATTCTTAATATTCGAAGAACCGAATATGAATTGTCGTGTCAAAGGGCAAAATGAATGATCCACATCGAAACAATTGCAAGGCAGTATTCCGGAAATGCCCACTCCTAATTTTTGTCTTGCCTTGCGTTATCCCCCACCGATCACCCCCCCCCGCTTTTCAAACCAATGGAGCGCTCGTTTAAAGGGGACTAGCTCTTCTGCAGTATTTTCCGGAATACTGCTCTGCTCTACAAATTCACCATCCAAGTTCTTTTCCCCTCTTGTTACGATGGTTAATAATGGCTACCGATTGTTGTATTTTTCATTCTAGGCGGGAAACAGTGGGGGAAGCTGAAAAAGGACCAGGAAGAGGCTTTAGAAGCGATTAACGAGGTAGCTAATTTAATGAACTATTTCGGTTTAAATATTCAAACTTTTGTTTAATGAATAATTTCCCTCTGAACCGCTGTAAAGGGCCGTTTGTTGTGCTTATAACTTCCTGGTTTGTGGGTTTGCCGGTTGGTTTCTTGGTTTGTGCTTGGGCTTGGATGTCATGTTCGTCCCCCCGCCCCCGTTACTGGTACTGAGTTTATGATCACCAAATAATTTCATTTAACGATTCAAGAATGGACTGGGCCACTATAACCTTTGCCCAGTTTCCAGACACGATGCTGCCCACGTGATCAAGTCTCTGAACTATTTCCATTTACGATTGTAGGTTATACTGTCTAGTATTTCGACAATACCTTTAATTGAAATGAGGCACCAAAACGCGTGCGATCTTACTGATTCCACACGTATACTGTTGCTTCCCTGTGCTCTTTGGAAAGACGAAGGGCTCTTTCACTGGTGGAAAAATCCATCTCTTGCAAAATTGGGGGAAAAAAAACAAAATGGATTCTGAGCTATGTGCAGCATGAGGCATAGGATGTATCTCATCAGACAAATAGCAAGCATAACCAGGGATCACTTCCCTAACCTTTCCGGCTTGCGTTTACAACGTGACCTCCAGTTCCACGACATATAGAGGGTCACTATACATGGTGCCTCGCCTTGTGATGCAGGATTTAAGCGCGCTAATACGCATGGTCATCAACACGAGAATAACGCTGCAGTAGACGTTGAATCCAGACGTTAACTATTAAACACTAATTAACGTTTAATTTCGTGTAAAAAGTATGTAGGATTGTCTCAGCATGGAGTAAGACTTTCCGATTAAAATGTTGAGTCCTGATGAGGCCCACATTTTTATATATTCAACACAGTATGATGATGAGCGTTGTCTCGAGATAATTTATACATTCATGTGACCACATTATCATAGAGTGACCTTAATGTTATTTTACAAGCGTTACCAGTGACCCAGCCTTTTTGTAAATTGGTGTCCCGGCTTAAAGTCGTCATCAGTGACAACTGTTTTCTTTCATTCTGCAGGAAATCATCAAAAATGGTGAATACAGCTCGTATGAAGATCTCGAGGAGAGGCTGAACAACTACAAAGGTACTGCAGTTTTTAGATGCATTTTTTTCGAGATGGTCACTTTCTTTAATTAAATTTAACGGGACCTACCGATGCTCTGTAAAACTGTTTTTAAAAGAATCTCATGGAAGGATCTTTGCACAGAGTCAGTCTGTTCGTAAGTAGTCAATTATTCATTTTTTATGATGAATCTATGCTTGTCCCTGGCCCGATATGCCGAATTCAAATGGGTCCAATCATAGCACTTGTTTATGTTTTGTGTGGCCTTGAAATAAAGCCCAAAATAAGCCAATGCAGTTCAATCAAATAATGGCACAAAACAGTGATAGTAGATATTCTTCTTGGCCTCGAATTCTATATTTCCAGGCGACACGAGCTTAACATTTTTCAATCAAACATAAAGTTTAATGGGTTAAATTGTTTTCCACCTTTTGCTGCCTATATGTTGTTTGGATTATTTCAGCAAGCTACAGGAAGGTAGTCTATCGAAACTAATTCGGGCCGATTACGAAACCAGTATACTCCAGGAAAGTTTGGTTAGCGCTAGTTTTGTAAACACATATAAGGAAATCGTTCATTGGTGGCCCGTTGTTACATTATAGATAGCAAAGACGAAATTGCCAGAATGGCAAATGTGCGATAAGCACACTGCTCCAATTATGCATCAGACCAGCGCGTCAAACAGGAAGAGTGGATATTTTATGTGATTATCACTTATGATAGTGGTTAGCACTGCCTACCACTCCTATATTAAATGCGGGTAACTCGGTTTCCCACTCACGCCTGAATGCGCCTATCCATAGTACACGGAACACATCGCCAGATGTCGATTTGTGAGCACAATTTGTGGCCGAAGAAAAAATTGCGAGTTTCTGCCTGACTGGATCCAGTAGGACGGCCGCCGTTTTGAGTTAATCTCCTCGAGCTCTGAGTGAGATTATTCACCATTCAATTAGCACACATCGATGTTGTCAGCACGTTCGCCGGTTGTCCCTTTCGAGAAATTTTAGGAAACCGATTTGGCAGGTTATTCCTGAAATGCGACGAATGATAACAAAACTATTTTGACCCTTTTTTTTGGAAGTCATTCACCAAATTAAGCACAGCAGTTTTATATTTTGCTGGTTTTTTTTAAATTTTGGGCTGGTAGACGGATGGCGAAATATTTAACAAAATCGAATGCATCTTTTACCGGTACGCACCATTTTAGATACTGATTTATTATTTCAGTGTATTGATGGTCTGGAATTGTAAATCGTAAAGAATGCATGTGACTTTGTTGCCTTGTTTAAAAATTACTTCCTTTGGCGTTCTTTCAGAAAAGTTTATCGAGTATGATCTGGATAACTCCGGTGATCTTGGTAAGAATAAATCTTCATTAAAATATTATTCTAAGGTTACTGTTTGGGCCAAAAATGTTTCACTGGTATACCTTTTCATAGAATAATCATTGTCAACCAGTTTTTTCCTTCACTGGTACTCGTGATATTTCTGGCTTTAACAATGTGCACGCAGAATGTTTTCAAGAAAAATGGTGTTTTTTTCACTGTCGTATATACAATTGGGGCGACGCACGCACAGGAGACTTTTCTCTTAGTCACTGTTGCGCTTTGTCCAAAACCAATGGCTGGCACGAACAGCAAAAGGATTTTTCACATTGTGTAATAAATAGCTGTCTTAACAACCAATAATAAACACTAATGCTAAATACTAAAACGCAAATGAGGCCTTTTCTTTTAACTAATAGGCCAAATAGTAAAGTTTTAGACAACTCTGACACCAATCAAGGGTTGTGTTTCTCGAAACTTTTATGACTAGAGCAGACAATATGAGAGTTTATTTTTACGAGTCCTTTTGGACTTTATTTGTACTTCTAAAAGATGACAAGGACGTCACCTTCATGATGGAGAAGCTTGGCCAGCCCAAGAACCTCCTGGAAGTGAAGAAGATGATTGCTGAGGTGGACACCAACCGCTCGGGTACCATCAACTACAACGAGTTCATCGAGATGATGCTAGGCAAGAAGAACAGCGTCCTTAAAATGTGAGTGAACAAGAACGCATGCGTTTCCAGGTGGTCTGGGCGTGATAGAGACTGAAAGGGGGGGGGAGTTCCTGTAAGGGAATATTGCTCCACTCCTTCCCCGGGCTGAAGGTAGGGATCTCAGCTGCCCTTAAATTTTCTGATCGTGAAACTGAAAGCTGAACTTAAAGCACATTGAGCTGTAGCCTACCGTATGTGTTTGTATCTATTGCAAACGGCATGTTTGGCGCTTCATTGTGTTTTTCATTGTGACGCCCAAAACCAGCCTTTGCTCATTCGAGTGTCATTCAGCATGTGACCGACAATAAAATACTCCATTGTCTCCACGTCACACGATATTAAAAATGTTGCAGGTCAGCCCGTCTCTAGCGATACACCAGACAACGTGCTCAGTCGCGCGATCATGTGGACGTATCATGTGACACGGAAATACCACATCCGCGCCAATTACCAACGTGTGAACAGCGAACATGAGAAATAAATAGCACAAATGTGTCCATATTATGTCGCCTGGAAATGGATCTCAAATTGCAGAAGGGTCTTATTTGGAGGCAACACTGTTCCGTTAAGAAATATTACTTTCCAAGACTCACAACTGGCTAAACGCTGATGCAGCATCATTTTTTGTCGGCTCCTTATTCACTGGAATTTGTAACTCGATTGTATTCTTTGCGATAGCCTTGGCTGTCTTTGATTCAGCCGAGGAAAGTGGCATTAATTCAAGTTAGAGTATTGATTCGATAGATTTCAAAACATCTTTTCATTTTTTTCAATTTGGTTCTTTGTTTTTTGTTCTTGATTTTCTAGTATCCTGATGTTTGAGGAGAAGAAAAAGGGAAAAGAACAGCCAACGGGCATTCCTCCAAAAAGGAGCCTAGAGGACCTTCCTTGATTTCGACCGAAGTCAGAAAGCTATGCATTTTCTGTCCGATTTTTGTTACCAACGAACAGTGATTTTTTTTTCGAATTGTCTGCAGTTTTTTTTAAAGTTGAGCAAAGTCACCGCGTGCTTCTCTGTATTATAAAACAGACTATATTTCCAGGCTTCCATGCTGTGTTTAATTTTGCAAGACACACTGCTTGTTTAACGTCTAACAGATATTACCGGTGTCTCTTTCATCGACTGTCTTTGTCATTGAATTTTTTTTTCGTGTAATGAGTGACCACTGTCTGCGAGTATAGTTTAATTGCAACGACAGTCTGCTCAGAAAACTACTAAGCAAACTTTGGCTTCCCGGCAAACCCAAGAATTTTTTTTGAATTAAAAAGAATAAGACAGCTACAGTGACATGCTATTTTTTTCCCTAAAGCGAAATACAACATAAATCTAAATTCAGGCCCAAAAGTAGAGCGAAATTGAAGTGGAAAGAATCTAATTAACATTTGGAAATAATTATCAGTTTTCAGTAAAATGGTTTCAAACTTATAGGCCTAGACGGGTTACGGACCATATCACCCGCATTTATCCTCTTTATATAGATATTACCGTACAAGAAAAGCAAAGCAAAAAAGAAACCAGCTAACCCAATTGCTTGCTATGAAACATCAGAATTTTTGTGTAAATATCATCGCTAACCAATGCCTGCATTTTACTGAATTAGTTATTACCTTGGTACATTTTCTCACAATTTTTATGTTCTGCCCGTGAGACTGATTCATTCCTTTTTATGGTATGTATAATTTCGAAAATGGAATTTATAATTGTCTTGTAATGTACGAACTACATAATTGTAGACATTATTGTTCTCAAGAACTTGTAGATTACGTTTTGAGTAGATTGTGGCAAGTATTGTGTGGGCTCGATAGAATGGGTGTTGTTTTGTAATAATCCCATTCATTCACAGAGTAATTTAAAGCATGTTTTTACTTGAGTTTATATTGCCATTTGTGGTGTTTTTTTTCCTGTTCACTTGCAATAGAACCTTTCCTGGAGTTCTGCTTTCGAACTATCCAAACAGTGTATAGAAAGTATTATTGTACATGGAGATGCTTATGTTCAAAAAGAATAATAAACACCAATATTTTGTATGTAATAGTTGTAGGAAATCCTCCTCTGTATTGCCACCAGCGTAATACGTAAACGCATCCTAATCAGGCCCGAGCTGGAGCAAGAGAGGGCGCAATTTCCCTAACCGCGGATGTTCCTTTGGTCGGAACTACACTTCGCTGCTTTAAGAACGACTATAGGACATGCACGCGAAATGACAACTCTCCGCCAACGTGGCTCAAGTTCAACTATTGAGGGGATGCTTCTGCTCAAGGCGGATAGTTGGTTGTGCTTGCGTGCGAGCTCATCGGTTTAGATGTATCGTCATCCCATAGTCGATTTCGATTAAGAAGTCCTGCATGCAGTTAAGATTAAAACTATAGGAAGGTTCCATGTATCCCAGACTTGTTGGTCTACTTCGTACAGAGGCGGGTGGTTACATTTAAACCAGGACCAAGAGTTTGGGAACCATTTTAGGGTTAGGGCAGGGAAATATCATGCAAAAATATTTGTTGATGTGTGTGGTGCGCTCGAAACGTCGGAAAGAATATTTCCCGAAGGATAACAATCTTTGATTCCAGTTGGAAATTCCTCTTGCGTTCTTTTCCAGAGTGTCTTTTTTCATGCAGTTTGTATCGCCAGTTTAGGTACGCATAAATTTAGTGCGGTGCACCATAATGATGTTTTATGGCTAAGTTTATTGATGCCTGACATTGGCATGCAACGCTGAATAAATAGCCGTAGCCTGTGATTCACACGTGTGACGTGACCCCACAATGACCTCGTGGTTCCCACCTCCGACAGTTCACCGTCCCCTTTCACCCCTGTCTGGGTTCTTTGGCCAGGTCCCTTGCAAAACATCCACCGAAATTACAGAGGATCCCCTCAATGACTGGAAGGTCGAACAGCACAATGTTACTCTATTCCCACTGTTTCTGGAATATACAGGAAGTATATACACGCATACTCATGACTGTTGTATCCGCTGTTGTATCGGTTAAATTCTAGGGTTCAAAGGTTCTTCTACAAGAGGTTTGCCTCGGTTTCAGTAATCTTGTCTGAATTATTTGGCTATAAGGTTAAAAAATACACGCACCTACAGTACAGAAACCGTCAACTCAACGGCTCCGGAGATTCCACATAGAAGTCTGGGTATTAACATGCTGGCCTATGTGCTCCGAGCTACAGCCAGAGATCTCTTGCTCTAGATTGGAGCTTGGGCGCAACTTCAACAGAGGCTCCATTGGTTGGAACCACAGACATATAACTTGAATGCATAGACCACCAGATGCTGTTCAAAACTACAGGAGAATTCCGTGATCTGTACGGCGCCCGACTAAAATCAAAAGTATGGGCAGTTTACCCCTCGATAAAGACAAGAGAAGTTACGCACGGGTGAAGAATTCCAGCTCAAAAATCCCATGAAGCCATTTTTTTATTTTGAATAAAAATCCTCTATTACTTAATCTGACCCAAGTAGATTCAAAACGATTTTGGAACATTTGAAGAGAAGTGATAGCAGTACCAAAGAGCAAAGAAGTGAACGTATTTTGATAGCACATGTACAGTACATGTATAGAAATACAGGCAATGTACATGTGTGTAAGTGCGTCACGCGCAATATGCACTGCATTGCTTTCCAATATAATGGCTACCAGGAAATGAACACTCCCGACCAAACTGGCTCTTTTCAATCGATGAGGGGGTGCTCCTGCACAAAGTGGAATGAGATCGGTTTTTGGTCTCAGTAACGAGCCATCAAGGTGCCTTTCAAAACTTAAAGCGCCACTCTCCTGGGAACGATTGCTTACAAAATTACTGTCTACTCATTCTTTTTAAAACGGTGCAGGAAATGTTCTCTGTTTTTTACCTTAAAATTTTCATCAGCATTTCTTTATAAAAGTGTTGTTATCAAACATCCTTCAAGTCTTCGAGAACATGACGTACACGATTTGATCTACAACAAATCATTGTTGAGCGCAGGACATTTGCCTATACAGCCCATCCCCGCTTTTAATTAAAAAACGCGTGTATATTCATAGGTCGTCGCACTTTAACTCACCAATACGAGTGCTTCACAGTAGTGCGCCTCCAAGAGTTTACACGGCGTTGGCCAATTACAGGACACGAAATCAGTCCACCCATCCAGTGCGCGTTTGGAAAGGGTAGACAGATTTTGCGCCAACGCGCTGCAAATTCTTGGAGGCGCACTGTTTTGAATGCGGCCCGAATTCAGTCTAAATATTAGTCCTGGGAGTTCAGCAATACCGGCTGGTGATAAAGACTATCCGACTAGCCGTACACAAGACGTTTCTTAACCTGTCCCATGCGTCCCAAACTGTTTCATCTTCAATATTATTATCTACATTGTAATCTGTATTTTGTGTCCAGGAGTCAGTGAATGCTAGAGTAGTATTTGTAATGCCTTCATGCTTTGGATTCAAGGCTAATACAGTGATTCGTTAAGAAATAAGTCACGGCCACCCTGAGTGGTTTTAATCTAACGGTACAAAGGCCAGATAGATTAGCCTTTAAAATGATCATAAAAATGTTTGACAAATCATCGGGTAGTTCTTGCCCCCCCCCCCGGGAATTTTCAAAAAGCCCTTTACAATCTCGAATTATAGCAGGTGCACGGAAAACTGCTCCTTAAAACACAGTCAACAAGATTTGTAGAGCGCCCTCAATCGCCGAGGAAACACGTTGCGGTTGTAAAGAAAAATGCGGATGGCATACGATGCAGGCAGCTTGCTCAGAAATTTGTCGATAAAGCTTCTAAGCTTGGAACAATTCCATTGTCGTCCACATTAGTCGAGCACCTTCGAAAACATCAATAAAATGCTTATGATTAGAAGTGACTTTGATTTTGAAGTAATAAACTAACTGAAATTTTACTTTTTTATAATTCATAGTCCCAGCTTTTTTTTGTTAAAGATTTCTGCTTTTTGGGGGGAGACGTTTCTTGTTTTTGGCAATTTCAGTTAAACTCGAGAGCATGTACCAAATCAAGTTTACTTTTAATTTTTGGATGTTGAGAATTTTCTAATTTCCCCTCTTTGAGAGCTGAGAAGACAAAGTGCGACGTAAAAATGGGGGGTTTATCAGAAACGCACAGTTAATGTTTGAAGGACAAATTTGGCCACAGCCTCGTTTGGGCTACCGAGCAGTGCGCCAAATAAAGTAAGCCATTGGATGAGGTAGACCGTGATAGCTTTTTGCTCACATTTTCTTTTGTGGTGCCTCTCGTGAACTTATGGTCTTGCGCCAGCTGTTATTGGTGTATGGTCAGTGTGGATAAAGCGCCCGCTTGGGTGATTTAATCCGCGGCGCGGCGTGCATGGATTGCGCTCCAATTCATGCACTTACAAGGGTAATTCCTTACAAGATATCAGCCGCCATAGTGGGATCACGGGTCCAGGTTTAGGCACTGAACTTCTGGAAATCCTCTTGCAGTGTTTTGCTCCCAATTGTTGTTTGCAGGAGTCAAGGATGATGCATGAGAAGGCGTATTCAGGTAAATAAAATCTTGCTGTATTTTGCTTTGACATACTCATCACGCATTTCAGAAACCAACAGGCGGGCGGGGGGGGGGCTTACCCCAGAATTTTCGGGTCCGACGTCCTCCCCGCTTCGTAAGAGCGGGGTGGACGTTGGACCCCACGGTTCTGGGGGTATTCAACGCTGTGCCGGGTGTGTGTTTTACGTTTAAGCCAACTCTCGTGAATTCATTATGATTAGCAAAATGTCTGTTATGTCGATTCCACCGAGGTCGCCGATGCTGAAAATTTGCACCTCTGCGAGATTCCTGACATTGCCCGCTCACCTTGTGCAGACGCTTCACATAGTGTCACGTGATTCCATAGATTTGCCTATATTTGTTCTATACCAAGGACTTTGCTGTAAAAAACGCAGTCACTGATCACTGCGCCATTATGACCCGGCCAACCTTGGGGCCAGTTTTGACACTATTGTTCCCGAATTCATCAATGCACATGTACAGAATGCGGAATAAGCACCACGTACCATGCTACACCTATGGATAAAATCCACTTCGTTCGGCACTATTGGGTTTCTATATTGACTCTCTCCACTCTGATCTCCAGCAGTGTGACTATCCAAGTACAATGGAGATGACCCCAATCAATTCCGCTCTGTGTAGTAAAGGCTCCACCCCAAACGCCATTGAAGAATCAAGGCCGCTTTCCATAGCGTAATACTTACATCAACGATAAAGACTCACATGACACAACGGCCATATTGCGATTTTGAACGCGCCCCTGCTGGATATGAGGTAATGCATTGCGGGTGTTCTGCTAAAGGTTTACTTGAGCCTGTCCTAGTAATACAAAGCCCTTGCCCTCTAACTCCGCCTTGACCTCTCTGGGCCTACATGTGAAACCCACAAAATGAGGGGGGAAGGTCACTGGAACAGACAGAAATGCATTCATGTGATCGCGTCCACCTCGAGCAGAAGCACCCCTCATCGGTTGAAATGAGCCATGTTGGTCAGGGGTGCTCATTTTGTTGGTAGCGATCTATGCGACCGTGACGCGTGCTTTTCATAGTCGTTTGTGAACCAGCGAAGTACAGTGCCTACGTACCAAAGGAGCCAGCGTTGCTAGGAAAATTGCGCCCTTTCTTGTTCCAGCTCGGGGATCATTAATACAGAGAGATCGACCCGCAAGCAGTGTTAACTTTCAACATTACCCCCACTCTCATCAGATCTGAAGGCAGACGCATAAAAGAATGGCGCTTTGGAAAGGTCATTCTTTGATGAACAAATCAAGTGAAATCTGTCACTTCATTGTCCAAAAAAACTTGATTTATTTGTTGTCACAGCTGTTCGAGGAAAGCTGTACCAAACTCGGAGAAAAGTTGTTGACACAATGGTGTGCTCGGAATCTCCAAATCTGCACTCTTGCACATTATAAATAAAGACGACAATATTATATGTTGTAGATGACAATACAGGCGATTCACAATAGTGCACCACAAAGAGTTTGCAACGCGTTGGCCAAACATAACGCGCGAAATTTGTCGACCCTTTCCAAACGCGCATTGGGTCGACAAAATTCGCGCATTGTGATTGGCTGACGCGTTGCAAACTCTTGGTGGCGCACTATCGTGAAACGGCCGTATTGGAGTTACTCACCTGAACATAAAATACATGAACATACGCTACAATGCGCCATCTGCAGCGTTTTGGGGGCAACAGCGTAATGGAGCCTTTCAACACGCCTGCTTTGTACAAGATCATAGAAGTCAGAGCCGCGTGACCCAAACGCATGCTTTGCTGAAAACACTCGGCGCTAAAGAAGTCCAGACTTCTCTTTGCCTGTTGTCGACCATGGTAAATATTGATGTTGATTGTTGTCGCTTTCTTTTCAGACAGGAAAAGAAGCCAGGAAGATGCTTTCGCAGCGTACAACAAGGTAGCTTATAGTCAAGTTTAGTTGCCAATAGCCGGTCGTTATGGTTAAATACATGCATAGGCATAACTCGTTGACTCGTGGGTTTACTGTCTTTCATTTTTGACTCGATCATCATTTTGGTCATTCTATTTTGTCGCTTTTCAGTGGTCACTGAGTTTATAATCAGTACGTTGTCACCGATCACTCCCCGTATTTATTGTATGACCTCCAGCCCCATGCCGCTTGAAATTCACTATGCATGGTGCCTCACCAAAGCGTGTAATGCTCATTTCCAATGCGATGTCAAGGGATACTGCGCCGGATGGGAGCGCACCCAAACCGATTGCCATGACGCATTATTAAGCCGCCCTTCCCTATGCGCGTCAACACTTGCGCCATGCGTTGTGTTTCCGTCGATATCGCTCCCGGGGCGATTTTGGCGGCCGAACGCAACGCACACGTACGTGTGTTATGTTTCGTGTCCGTGAAAGTGAACGCATGAACGCATCGTGTACGCAAACGCACCCCAAAAAGTACATATGGAAAGGGCGCCTTTACGCTGGTCAGCAATTCAAGACTTTCGCGACGGTAGACATTTAATCCAGACGTTAATTAACACTGATTATCTTTGAATCAAATATAAAACCGAGTGACGCAGGAACATCCGAGCAATTAAGTATAAATTTCCGGATTACAAAATTAATTTCTGACCAGGTCCAACCTTTCGAGATATTCCAATTAGTTTTCATTTGATAACATTATCAGGGAGTACGCGAATCTTACCTTTATTGGCGTCATCGGCGATTCAGCCTTTGTGAATTAATTTCTTGGATTTCATTATCGTCATCATTGACTTTTTTTTCTGACACTATGCAGGAAATCATTACAAGTGGTAAATACAGTGAAGATGAATATCCAGATCTTGAAGAGAGGCTTGTCAGCTATAAAGGTAATGTGGTTCGTTTTAGATACATGATTTTTCACGGGATGACTCTCTGTTAAATCTAAGGTAACGGTGATCAGGCATCGTTTTACACCGTTAAAGATTTCTGTTAAATTAAATAACAAAAGATTCTATTGTCAATTGGCATTACAGAAGTTGCTGTTTTGTGACAGCACATTCTACTGTCAACATTTCTTTATTTACTAACAGGAGATTCTTATGGAAGTGTATTTAGGACTTGGTAAGAAAAAAATTTAATTCGTATGTACAAATTACCTTTTCGTACGTATGGATTACTGAACCGTACTTACGGATTATGTTGCATGGCATGACTAAACTTTAGTTCATTAGGCCCGAGCGGGACCAAGAGAGGGTGCGATTTCCTAGCAACGGATGCTCCTTTTGTAGGAACGCCACTTTGCTGGTTCCCGAAAGACAGTGAGCTACATGCGTTGTGTACGCGTCCGCCCTACGGCAACAAGGCAACACTCCCCACCAACATGGCTCTTTTCAACCGATAGGGAGATGCTTCCGCTCAAGACGGAATTTTTAATGCGGCCAATGCCTAGGATCATTATTAACAAAACCGTACACACAAAGTAGTAATCCGTACGTACGAAATAGCCATCCGTATTTACTTAATAGTAATCCGTACCTAAGCACTAATTTTTTCTCACCCTGTCCTAAATACACTTCCATAATAATCTCCTGTTAGTATACAGAGACAGTTGACAGTAGAATGTACTGTCCCAAAACAGCAACTTCTTTAATGCCGATTGACAACGGAATCTACTGTTATATAACAGACGAAGAGGGTTTTTTTTTAAATCTTGATTTTATTTAGCCTGTGGGCTACCAGTCAATAAACTGATTTTACATCGTCTGTTCACAACGTCATATCCCACACTGCAGCAGTCAACAATAGTTTTGTCATATCTCTGTCTTGATGATGTTTTCCACTCGCTTTTCTGAGGAAGATTAAGGACGGGAAATGAATCTCTGAACGACTAGCAGTCCGTACGTCAGACCAACACCTCGAATATGATGAGAGAATTATTCTGAGATTATCATTATTGATAACACTACCAAACCACTTCCACTCAGTTTCGTACTTCGGCCTGCTGCGATAGTGATTCTGTTGTCATGAGAAAATACATAGTTTTTTTTACGTTCTTTACAGGAATGTTTATGGAGTTTGATGAGAACTCCTCCGGAGACATTGGTAAGAAGAAAAGGGTCATTAAAAATCTACAGTCTTATTGGACGGAAGGTTACTGTCTTGGCCAGTGGTGTCAGACTCTGTTATGTCTTACATTATTGGGGCTCATGACATCTCATGCTTGGGCAAAGGGTAACCAAGATAAAGCAAAGTTCTCTTCGTTTTCACGCGGTTATGCATGTAGATGTGCATTTTAAACACTCCCGGGTAAGATCGACTTGCAACCGGTGCCTGTTGGGCCTGACGATTTTCCGCGTCAAAAATTGACCCTCTTCCGGGTCATTTGACACTTTATGGTTCGCTTTAACACCCCCCCGGAGGCGTCTTTTTGACTCATTTGGGTCAGGCTCCACGGGACACCGATTCCTGGGCAATCTGATACCGGGGAGTTCAATAGAAGCGGCACAGTGATGAGACGGCATTGCTTTCCTTTTGCCCTGATTTTTTCACTATTTAAAGATATAATGGAACTCAAACGCATGATGGAGAAGCTTGGTCAGGCCAAGACCCACCTTGAGTTGAAAAAGATGATTACTGAGGTGGACACCACCAACTCGGGCACCATCCATTACAACGAGTTTATCGAGATGATGCTGGGCAAGAGGAATTCTATTCTCAAACTGTGAGTGTAAGAGAATTCTAGAACCCATGCTTTTCCAGTTGAACTGGGTGTGGTGATGGAAAGTAATTAAATGTTTTTTTCAGAAATCATCCCATTGTCTGTGGCTTTGTAATCCATCTCTCTACTTTCCGCAGCTGTTCAAAAGTCAAAATCTCACGAGTTTTTCCCTGTGTTCCTGTAAAACCCTGACGAGGAGGTGGTGTGTAATCCTGTTCCGAGAACAGCGTTCTTGAGTCGTGTTCCCGCCGTTCGAGCGCGAGAACATTGTCAGAAACCCGTGCCAAGAACAGGCCGCCCGAACTCGACTTAAATGTCTAGTCCTTTGGTACGAACTCAACCTCGACTCCATGGGCTGCGTGCGAGTTCCTTCACTAGATCGTGAGATCGAGCAAGGCATGGTGGGATCCAACATAGCGCAGTAAGATCGTACCCATGGGAACGAAGTTGGTACGAACTCACCACATACGCGCGCAAATTTATGCGCGTTTGAGGTTGCACTACACCAAATACACGCCCACAGAAAACAGTGCAAAATCGGACCGAAATAGCGCCGCCCGTTGACTCTCGTGAAGAGGATGGCCTCCTTTTTTACTGGAAATTCAAGATTATGGCCAGAAGATCACTTTTCGTTTCAATTTCATGGGGGTTAGCGACGAAAATCTTTTTAATTCGCCTTCCAAGGAAGATACTCCAAAACAGCAGTAAAACTAAGCGCTAATTTCTGAACCTAGCCGCCCACCTCTATCCAAAATAGGCCCGCAATTTAGAACTGGAAACTATTAGTCCCAAATTCGGGATTTATAGAAATATTTCTATGATGCCTCCTGATTACGGCATGTCTTATTGTAAAAAACCCCGTGGGATCACAAAATATTAATTAGCTCTCGCGCGCCGAAATACAAGCATTTGATGGGATGCACCCTCGACGCGGAGCACGTTGAATACGCGCGATGACTTTATTCTGGAATAATGGTCTTCGCGTGCACTGACGCCAAACGCGTGCAAGAACCGTCCGGTTTGAAAACTTCCTACCAGTCTGTCTGTTTTTTCGCCGAAGAAGATGCACTTCAACTCGAGGCGGATAGTCTCATTGTCTGTTGGCTCTGTAATATTAAACTTATTTTTTTTCCTATTTCATTCGCGCAATATTCGCCCTCAGCTGAAGTGCACCCTCACCGGCGAAAGAAAGACAGATGGTACTAAGTTTTTCAACCGGGTTCTAACACGCGTTCGGCGTGCACGCGAAGACCACACATTCTAGACTAAAATCGTTGGCTTTGATTTATTAGCCAACAATCAGACGCACCCCCTCATCGGTTGAAAAGAACAATGTTGGTTGGCAGTGATCCATTTTTGTTGGTAGCCATGCAACCGCAACGCATCGTAACGCATCGCATCGTCGTTCGTGAACTGGCGACGTGCAGTTTCCACTAAAGGAGCCTCCGTTGCCGGGAAAATGCTTGGGGTGGAATGCTGGAATAAAATACTGATGCATTTCCGTATCCTTAAAATTTTAGTTCTGATTTTTTTTCTTGATTTTCCAGTATCCTAATGTTCGAGGAGAAGAAACAGGAGAAAGAACGACCGACAGGCAATCCTCCTAAGAGGGACCTAGAGCATCTTCCTTGAATTCGACTGAAGACAGAAGCTATGCATTTCGTCCCGATTTCGTGATTTCCTATTTGAGCATTTTGAACTGTTTCCAGTGATAGTGTTATTAATCTGTCTTCAGTTTTTGTAAAGACTGAGTAAACTCATCACACGCTACTCGATTAGCCCGGCTATAATGGTTCTATGGTTCCTTAGCCTGTCGAGCTCGGCATTGTTTCATAACAAGGGCATTGCCTCCATTTTAGGGAAATGGACCTTTCTTTTGTCTGCACTTCAATCGTGCACATTTTATATAGTCTGATGGAATAACGTGAAGAACGTTAATGATTTGTTTCGTGCTTACAGTAATGTATTTGTATCATAACTTAGAAACGTTAAATATTGTTACTATGAAATACACCAAGGTTGCAGTAATTATTCTCTAGAACCTGTTGGCTACGTTAATGTACTTTCACGAGCATTATAATTTTGGGTCTGGTAGAACTGGTGTTGTTTTAATCTTTTCATTAACAGAATATTTTAAAGTATGTTTATCCGCTCCGAGCGGAACAAAAGAGGGCGTGTTTGTAAACGAAATGGGGCGATTCTTAATAGTGCGCCTCCAAGAGCCTGCAATGCCTTGGCCAATCTGCCGACCCAATGCCCTATTGGAGGCGCACTATTTTAATCGCCTATCCGCTCCGAGCGGAACAAAGAAGGGCGTGTTTTTTGGTCTTCAATGCATAGGCGCGCCTTGAGGCGCGCAAGTATGTGCGCGTTTGACGTGGAGCACGCCGAGTACGCGCAACGACCGGAATGTACACGCAGAACACGTGCTAGAACCCGATTGTAACCATCTGTCTTTGTTTCGCCGATTGAGGGTGCACTTCAGCTCGGGGCGAATACTCTACTTCATACCATAGAGCAAGGACCCAATGCTGACTTTTTTAACATGCAGTACAAACTAGTTTTTAGGGCTCGTTCTTTGGAATTACCAAAACAGTACAGTAGGCCTATTTTGAAAGTGTTATTGTTTATTAAGAAAGTGTTTGCAAAGAATTTGTATCTAACTGACAGTCATAACAAGACAAGACAACAAGAGCGTTTCACAAGAGTGCTCCTCCACGAGTTTGCAACGCGTTGGCCAATCACAATGCGCGGAATCTGTCGACCCTTTCCAAACACGTACTGGGTCGACAGCTTTCGCACACTGCGACTGGTCAACGCTATTGCGAATCGCCTGTATCCGCCCCGAGCTGAAGTGCACTCTCAATCGGCGAAAAGAAAGTTACAAGCAGGTTCTTGCACGCGTTCTGCGTGTACGCAAAGACCACACATTCCGGAGTAAATTAGTTATGCGTACTCAGCGTGCTCTGCGTCAAACGCGCATATACTTGAGCGCCCCATGACGCACCTATGTGGTGGGTACCAAAAAAGGGTTTCTTTTGTTTCCGCTCGGAGCAGATTATTGTCGTGGACGCAACCTCAATTCCATGGGTTGCGTGCGCGTTCCTTCACTAGATCGTGCAAGGTATGGTGGGAACCAACGTGGTGCGGTAAGATCATACCCATGGGAACGAGGTCGGTATGGATGCATCCCAATAATTATTGGTTGTGGGTGCAAACCACTAATCTAAACACCAGCGCTCCAACGTACTCAGATATTTTATAACCGAGCCATTGGGGACTATTTCTGTCTATCGAACATTTACTGGTGGTATTAAACGCGAAAGATCTCGTCTACAAAAACCCACCCTTGTGGGTCTATTTTGTACAGAGGTGGACGACTTTACGTTCAAACCCGGGGTAAGAGATTGGGAACCGTTTTAGGATGGGTTAGAACCAGGATTTTTTGGAGTCAATATATATCAAACTGGTAAAGTTGTGTAATATTTGCAGACGTAGTTATATGTCGACGGGATTAGCGCCTCAATACACCAGAACGTATAGGCTGTTCCTGGTGACGGGTACTCTTTTCTATTGCTCTGAAATTTTCAAGGAATTCGGAAACGTTGCGGGAAATGTTTTCATTTCCCCTCAAAATCCCCTTCACTTCAGCTTTTCTTCTCACTAGAATGGTAATCAAAACCAACTAAGGCCTTCGAGATCTTGATATATCTAATATTTGATCTACCGAACAAAGAATGTATGAGCGTTTGGGGTGCTTTCGGGTAACCTTTACCTTTACTAACGCATGATAAGTCATGGTCTTCAGGTAACTTCTTGCCAGTTCAAGCCGACGTGTGAGGTGGTAGGCTAAGAGCGTCTAATCTGCCACAGACATAAATAATATATCAATATTGTTTAAAGAGCGCCCCCGTTCGGTCAGAAAAACACATTCCTGGTTGCCATGGTACTGACATCCACCAGACGAGAGAAAAATGGCGGCGTACATGTCGTGGTCGGGAAGAAGCTGAATATCGTTCATGCCGTTAGCAAAAGCTGTTTAGCCTAAACTTTCCGGTTCTCCAAATGTAGGCCTAATTTTGATGTTGATCGTATTGGATGAAGGTGAGTCTCATTTTATATCAAGCGTTTAAATGTCTGATTGGAAAGAATGTTCGAAAAATAGCCTAGCCCTGTTGCCTGCACTAAGCCTAGGCCCGAGGCCTGAGCCTAATTTTCAGTTTCAATCAGTGAAGTTTTTCCAGGCTCGGCTGAAATTAGCCCCACAAGTAGAGCTGTGGTGGCTCTCAGAGCGCGAAATTATACCAAAAAAAGTGCTCGGACAAAATGTCATAACACAATCCATGTTGTTCTTCCTTTACCAGCTTTTGATCTGCCATAGCCTAGCCCTAGGCGTATTTATTAAAATAATTTATTAGGCCTAGGCCTGTATAACAGGTAGAGTTGTAACGTGCAGTGTAATATTTGTACACTTTGCACAGAATGCACTTTTAGTTTAAACACTCAACCACTTAATGCATGCAGCAACATGATTATTTAAGAATACTTACAGAGGCCTATAGGCCTACATACATGTAAGTTTGTACTTCAGTAAGTGCATAGGTCGAGCTACTCGTGTTCAGCAGGAGTAAGACCCGCGGGTCAACGAGGGTATACTGCCATCACACATACAGAAATATAATGCGCGTGTAACACACTTGGGTTGAACTGGAGGAACTGCACGAACACAACCAACCATTACTGGTCCATATTGCCTGGTACCCAGGTTGTGTGTCATGCATGGGCTACAATGGAAAATTGAACATTGGTTGACAGCATGACCTCCGTTTTACGATGCGCAAAGAATTATGGGGCAATTTCATGCCTGTGCAAGTAAAGTATACACATGTGTGTTCATACACGCGTGGCGCTGGGTGACATGGGGCGGTGATAAGTGATCAGCCCTGATGAATGCCTTGGGCATAATTAATGTAATTCTAACACAAAACTAATAATAAATCACATATTTTGTTGATTTTTTAAGAGCTGTTGTTGATATGTTGGTTGGATAATTTGTCCAATATCTTTGATTTTGTTCGGACAAACACAATAAGTGCTCGGAAAATGTCAGATGTCAGACCGTAATTTCATGCTCTGGGCTCTCTTTTAAAATCTGTCTCTATTCTGTCGCCATAATAGAGAAGGATTTTAAAAGAGAACCACCACAGCCCTACGTGTAGGGCTAGGCTGAAAGGTACTACGGAGTCAAGACTACAGTTAGTTCGAACATATAGGATGGGTTTCTCTATTAGTCCGTATTATCGCAGTAGTTATTACATTTCCCAATCAAAATAAAGATTGCTCACCTTCCTGAATTATCCTATCCTTGCTGTTGTTTAACTCTTACTTTTAAACTTGATTCATAAAAGTTTATTTGTGGTTCAATTTTTTTCCTCTACAATAGCTCAGAAAATCTGTGTTTACACCGTATGCAAGTGGAGGTGAAGCCTCTATTTTAGCGGTATCGAGAAATGATTTCTATGATGGCCCATAACGCACTTTCTTCATAGATAAATAAAGATAAACAGAATAATTTAGTTTTCAGAGGAAACCAAAAAACCTCATGGTAGCCACAGGCCCATTTTGGGATAATGTTCCACTTTACCTGTAGGCCTAATTGACTCCAATTTCCCAATCTCCTCCTGAAAGATACCAAATGCCAAGAGAATAAGATGGAAACAATGGCACTGCATCACCTTACATATGGCAATGACAAGGAGTGACTTCATTTGTTTCACAGAACTTTTTTTTATGCAGGGAACAATTTTGAAATTCATCTTATATCTTAAATTGGTGTTTTGTCAAACTAATAATAAATGTAATTTTTTTGGTAGACTCATTCTTTTATCGATGTCTGAAACAACTGTTAAAAATGCCTTCTTTCTGAGTTCTAATTCTCTGAGAGTTGTAACCATCTCATTAGATCTGAACCATTTTATTCCAATTAAAGTTAGAAATTGTAAATATCAATTGCAAATTCTTCAAATTTTGTAAGAGAAGCAAAAACATCTCGACAATTGACCCAGAGGGTAAAAGCAACAATTAATACAAGTCTAGTTTAATGGAGATTGAGGACCCGTCAAATGTTTTTCAACAAAGAAGCTCTTATTTTGACTCCCACAAAAACCGGGGACTTTCGCCAGTTAATATTCACAACTCCCCTCCCCCCTTTGCCCTTTTGGAGATATTTGTAAAGAAGGCTTTGTGTTTTCATAGCAGATGGGAGCTAGCTGTACGTATCTATCATGAGTGCAGTCATGGCAACAGACGACCTCCTGAAGAAGTACCTGGTGGAGGAGACATCCTGTGGGCCACTGTGTCAGCACCCCCAGTGCTGGGCCTCGAACCGTCGTGTGGAAAGGGGGCTGCCCCGCTTGAGGGATTCCCTACAGTCTCCATGGACCGCCAGTGCAGATGAAGGTAAGGGCCGGGGACCATTTAGACCCGGTTTGAAAAGGGCCCCTCCCCCCCCGGTAAGCTCGCCCTGTTGCAAAAACCCCTTTCATACCGGCCTGGCTACCGGCCTAGGATGCTGGACTGGTTGTTGATCTCGAACTTCTCCAT